AAAAAAAAAGAAAAAAGAAAATAAACGTATTTTAAACAAATTTACGAAGAAAAGAAAAGAAAAAAACACTTTCCTGGATGTAACTTTCGTAGCTTGTTGAAAATCCACATCAGCGTTTTATATTTGTTTGCCTCGTTTTATCTCCGCGATGCGTTGTAGTTTTAAAAGATTCGACACACTTGTGCGACTTAATAATAAATGAGTATAGATAGCGTTAATAATAAAATACAAGAGCGAACGAAATTGCATCATGGTGGATCAATGGCACTCGTTTATTTTAATGCGCACAGTCAGTGATTCGTTTTATCCACCAATGGGATTACGTTTCTTTTATCACTGACGATGCCCAGGCCAATCCACGAGTATTCTCGTGTTTCAAAGACTCGGAATGAGATTATGATGGCTGACCGCGTATGGTATAGATACTTTTCCTCTTTCAATTCGTTCGGCCGGCTTGAATTTTTCGAGATAAGCGTAGATTATAGTAACTTTAGATTTCATTAATAATTAGTCGTGCATAATTTTATCGGCAATCTTCGACGAAATAAAGAATTCTTCATTTCGACAGGGATAGGACTTCGAACGATCGAATTTCGAATAGATGGGTAATTGAAGTAACCAGGTTTCCATCGAGTTCTTGTTACTCGAAGAATCTGCAACGTTTTCATGTCTCGTTTCTGTTGCGTGCCACGCAAATATCACCAATATAACGAGAAACGAAACGTCGAGGCGTAAAATAGAAAAAGGTTGGTGGGTAAATTAGCTCGTTTATTCGATAGACGAATGTGTACGAACGTGCAGCAAATAATAACTAAATAGCAATAGGTCGTTGACCCGTTTCGATCAATTTACGCAACATGGCGAGGAGAACAACGCGTAAATTGTGCGCGTGCGTGACTCTCTCGTTCAGTGGGGAAATTTATCAAATAAATTTCGCAAATTACGCCGTAGCTCCGATCATTCCCATGACAAATAATTCATTTGTCGCAAGCACGTTTCTCGAGCTTCGAATGAACGAACAAATTTCTCTATTTCGCACGCAATTTTACTCGAAATAGCGGTGCAGCGGTTGAACGATCACGCTCAAAGTATATGGTCATAGTAGAGGAAGATGGCGAGGGATTATTAAAAGAACACTTGCATAATCACTGCGTTTTTATGATGTAAAATTTGTGTACAGTACAATGCATAAATTAAGCTGTTGACAGTTTCATTTGCAACGGAGAAACGATGTTGTTTGTTCAACTTGTCAACGTTTCACAATTAGGCAGTAATCGGTGATAATTTTACAGTAAGTAACAATACAACAAATAGAAGGTAATTCCGTAATTTAAAAAAAAAAAATAACGAGTTTCAGGTTTCGTTGAAAAGATAATCTTTGGAAGACGGTTCCTCGCAATGGAAACAATTCGGTTTGTTTGTTCTGTTACTTTCTTCAATGTTTCACGTGTGAAACACGCGTAAAAAAAAAAAAAAAAAAAAAAAAAAAAGAACTAAGTACAAAATACGAATACTAGAATGAGATTAATTTTCCGTACGAAAATTCGAGGAGATGGGAAACAATTCGTAACAAAAGTTTAGGATAGCACGCAATCGCAAGGTTTCTTTGTTTCTCTTAAAAATTACTCCGCATTGTAAAAAACAGCAGGTAACAAAATATCAGTGTAGATTAAAAAATAGATCGTAGACGAATTCTGTCGCAGCTGATCGCTTGTGTAACAATGAGTATCTCATTTTGTTGGAATTACACTTAGTCATGTCGTTTAATTAAACAGGATTCTCATATCGAATATCGAACATCCGATTCGAAATACAAACTATCGTGATATATCAAATCTTAGGAAATTAATCGTACATCGTTTTTTACAAAAAAATCTTGTCGAAATTTTACAGAGATGTGTTGATGATCATTTTGTATTATCAAATCGTAACTATCAATAAAGCCTCTCTACGTAAACGATGAAAAA